CCATTGAATTTCACATAGCCTTGCTTTCCCAAAAGTTGTTGTCATCCTGGGTGGACTGCAGTTTCGACCTAGAGTTCTCGCTCCTGAAACACAAGCAAGCGAAGATTCGACAAGTATTATTGCTTTTTTGTTTCTTATGCATCCAACCAGCACAGTCCTGTGACCTCAATTTGACACCTACGAATAACTATTTACGCGAAAGCAGTCATGTTAAATCTGACATCAAACCGTCATCTAAGGAAAAAATAATTAATCATACTAGCTCAATTCATGATGAGAATACAAATACCGAGTGCGTGCATTCATTTCACGCAAATGAAATCAGTCCACCCTCGCGATTCGCTATGCAAACCAAACCAAATATCGAATCCACTAAAATTGCACACGTGATTAATCACAGAGATCTGGAAAATTATGAGCAGAGCAGAATAGATAGCGTTAGTGAATTTATTAAACCCAGGCCACCCATGCTGCGAATCGAGAAAGCTTCAAATTTTCCAAGTGAATTACCTGCATTTTACTACGATTCTCGTTATAATAACCCTAGGTCTAGGGTGCATACCATGCTCGGTGGAACCTTTCAGAAGCGCAGATTTAAGGGACCGGAGCATGCCCGTATGTCTTTAGGGTCACAGAGAAAAGCCCGTTACTCTGCCCAGTCAAATGGTCTGGGTCACAAGCCAACTTGTCGCCATTTTGTTAAGAACAGATTTAAACCTAATAACATACCATCAGATACCGCATCTGGAGATGAAGTCAGTCAACCTGATGATACCGGTGCTGATCTGACTTTACCCTCTGATATACTGGTCTCAGACCCTTCGTCTGCAAATAATCTGGAGGAAGCAAAGGTGCTTGGTAAGCATAGTTGTATGTTTTATTCTGTCAATATCCTCATGACCATTGTCTGAGCTCATGTACTTAATTTATAGCTTCTTCTTCCGTCATGCTTGTTGCTGGCATTGCCGTCGGGGAGACTAAAAAGCCTCAACATAATCATCCCATTGTCGGTGGTTCTCCTGCTAAAATTGTGGATAAATTATCCCAAAAAGCTGAAAAATCTAATTCTACAACTGAGTCAGGAAAAAAAAATATTGAATTTAAGCATGTATCTGGGTTGACTCATCCCAGTGAGTTGCCTGATCGCTCCTCGCCCTTCGTCACTATTAGTTCGATATGCGACTCAGTCCATTAATCTATATTGAATAGTCTGTTATGTTTAATGCACTTTTTCTTTTCTATTCTTTGTACATTTCCCCTTTGTTTTTTAAAAATATACTCTTGTAAACAATTTTTTAGCTGATCAATTATATTCACTACTCAAAGCCCAAAATTTTCTTTATATTTTTATTTGCTTTTCCTCACAGCTATAGATCTCAAGAGTTTTATCTCTACTAATTTAGTCATGCATATTGTTTAGTCTAGTTCATGGAGACAGACAGCTTGTGTTAGTGACTTTTCTTTATTCTTTGGCTGCACAGCCATACATAGTTGCAAACCAGAGCTTCATTATTGTTGACTCTTTTTATCTGTATTTATTTTTACCTAGTAATCGTCTGCCCTTGATCAGTGCATCCGACATTATCATCTGGTCTTTTATCACCTCGATTTATTTTAATCCAATGCCTCTTAGTCATCTCATTTCCGGCAATCGGTTACCTCTGTTGCTCAGTCTTATATACTCTTGTCTCTTCTAATATATTATTAGCACCTTTATTTGGAGTCCATACGGATAATTTCATCACCATCCGGAAATCGGTCTTGGTATTAGCTACATATTTAATTTAATCCACCTTTGGTGGATAAACGCCATCAGACGACTCGCTTTATGACAATTAATCCTGTTTATTTACCGTTAAGATGGAAGAGGGCTTATCTGCGATTCACTTTGGATGA